TTCTAGAAAAGCATGTACTTTAATCTCAGACTTCCGGTGCCTGTCCGCCTCAGTCCTTAGGCATGGAACAGCACCCTGGCCAGCTACAGGGATGACTCCTAGGTGCCCTGGATTCACGGGCTCACAACACGTGTGAAACAACAGCAGTCAGAACTGGTGAGTCCCCTGCTTTAGAAAAATTGTGAGATTATGTGTAACGCTTTGGATTGGAAAGGTGGCCCAGGACGGATGGTGTGCGGTGTCACAACTGAGCTATCAGGCTGCTTCTCGTGGAGTCCTAGCATGTTCGCAGGCTCCCGGGCACAGGCAGGGCTGAGAGGAGCAGCTGGGCTGTGCCCAGTGCAGGGAGAGATGCATGACCCACCTCCCTGGGCTCCTCCGCACCATGCGGACAGGGCAAGGGCGGCACTACCAGCAGCTGCTGGCTTGGGGCCCAAGGTGAGTCTCACACCTTGCTGTTTGATGTGCTGCTGTGTGCAGCAGCTGCAGATTCAGTAAACAGGGAAAACGTCCTGCTCATTTCTTCCTCAGGTGCCCTAAGCTTCCCCCAGCCCTCCCCCATTTGTGGACATGGCAGGCCAAGCCAAAGAAGTCATTAGCTTTTGTCCTGTTTATAAGTAACAGAAGTATGACCCGCCTTAGAACAAGAAACTAGATTCAGTGCCCGCCCCAAGTCTTGAGGTAGAAAGGCTGGAAGCAGACCCGAGAGCTGTGGGGCCTGTGAGAGGGACCAGTGCCCAGGGTAGAAGGAAGACCGTTTCCCTGCTGTCTGACCACTTGAGGCGATGTCTGTCTCAACGTCTCAAAGGAAAGGACTGTTAAAGTAGGGTGAGCAGCGGCCTGGAGTTACCACCTGAGCGTTGCCACCGTGTGTCAGAAAGTACAAGGAGCCCTGAAACTGCTTCCCCAGGCTTAAGGAAAACAGCACAAACACGAGTGGGTTAGAGCAGCAAGCCTGCGGTTCAGTGGCCACCACCTGGGCGCCTGACTGGCTTGGCCCTGCTTCCCTACAGCCTCCTCACTGCAAGCGGGCAATGACCCGAACGCAGCCCCAGGGCCAGGGCCAGCGTGGGATGGTGGGCACTGGCACACCCTTCTTGCATCTATGAAGCTCACATCGCCTCCTTTGAGATAGAAGACGTCGGGACAGCCAACCTGCCTGCCACTGCACCAACATGATTGTCACAGTTCAGAGGAAAAGGCAGAGAGGGCTGCACGACTGAGTGCAAGCGGGAGAGCGGGCATCTCGGGCACTGGCACCACCCTGCCAAAGGCAGACTCCGGGAAGGACGAGCCAGCACTCCTGCGATCTGCCTTTCCTTTGCAGGGTGATGAGTTCTAGGTCTTTTGGGCCCAAGTTTCTATGCTCATAAGTGGATTTAATAATACTCTGGGAAGATATTTGCAGATGTGAGCAATTAATGACCTCAAAGTGCTTTGAAAATAAACGAGCTTACCAAAGGGGTGGTATTTAATATTTATAATGATAAGTCTGTGCTTACAGGCTTCAGAAACTATAATCACTGGTATAAGGCTTAGTTTTATGACTTTTTTTTTGAACTTAACATAAAATGCTTTTATTATAAAGCAATTAAATGACGTGTCCAGAACGCTTCCTGAATGCATCCAGGGCTTTACTTGGACAAACTTAAGATACGATCACAGATGTGTTTCAAATGGTCTCCGGTGACTTCACACTGATTCTGCATCACCCACAGTCGCTGGGAAATCCAGAGGTGAGGATCCACAGCAAGACTATGACTTAGGTCTTCCTCTGACGCCCGCGGACACAGTGAGCACGGTGATTTAGTTTTATTAAAATTATTTAGTACGGCTATAAACCAAACCACAGCCGCTCCCTTTTACCCAGTATAAAAAGTTTCCTCTGACAGCCCGTAAGAGCTGCGCACCAGTCGGCCCTCCCACGCCTGGCAGAAGGCCTGCTCCTTTCTCTGCAGCAGCATTGGCAGATTTACAGTGATGCCAAGACGCGGATGCAGTTTGTGCCTGGGGAAGATGAGCTGTTAGAAGACAATCTCCACAGCAAACCTGCAGCCTGCCTGGCCCTCTGCAGGAGCACGGTCTGGTTTCTTAAACAAAGGGCTTTCCCGCAAGCGGATGAATCTCGGGGAGGACAGTGATCTGGTAACAACGGCCTGGGCCCTCCCTCATATTTCCCGACCACCAGAGGCCACGTCGCTGTCCCCCTCCAAGGGTCTTCTCACACACAGCATCCCCAGACCCAGGCTTCCCTCAGAAGGGACGGGATCCAGACCACGTCTGTCCTCATCTTTTGTCGGCGCATAAATAAATGAATGGAAATCTCACTTTTCAGGTGAGGATGATGTCCCAAGGTCCTCGTTCTGGACCAACGGTTCACTTTTCCCACGTAAGGGAACCTTAGTTCTACAATTTGCAGTCTAAGGAAAAAGGAAAGAATGTGTTTTCCCTGAAAGGATAATCCTGCAGCCACTTTCCTTCACAGCAGCCTTTTCTCTTCCCCCCAGGCTACTCTCTCCCGCATGCCAGTCCATGGCATTGCTGAACAAAGGGCGCCACCCCATGTCTCACCAGAGGGAATGCAAGTGCAAGCACAAGATGGGCCTAGACAGATACCTGAACAGACCCGGCAGCACCGTGCTCCAAGATCCAAACTCCTCTGTGACAGTAGCTTCTCCCCAAACTGCTAAAGAAGCAAAACGAGAAGTGAGCCCCCACCAGCATTCCTCTTGGCCAGTGGCCAGCGCACCTGGGTACACTTCCACTGATGGCTGTGTCCCCTGGTGGCTACACGCAGACATACCAGCTGCAGACAGCCAACACCTGCTTCAGACAGGGCTGGGCAGACAGCAGTACTGCCAGGCACAGGGGTTCGGATCCACGGCGCAAAGGGCACTTAGCTGAACAGAAAGCCGTGCCTGGCTGGGACATGAGGTGAGGACATGCAGCGGGCAGCTGCTCTCAAACCAGCCTGTGTGCACGAAGCTGTGCAGGACTCTGAGACACGTCAAAGGCATGCAAAGGTAACGTTATGCCTTCCTAAGAGAAGACCAGCATCTTCTGGACACTCAGAGATCTAAGTCATTTCTTTCTCTCCAGCATACAGAACCGTCAGAGCTCATACTTACTGGTCTCTGTGAGGGACTGGAGCAGCATTCCCACGACTGCCTCACTGTACCCTGGCATCAGTCTGACCAGGTAGGTGATGTCCTTACCAGCACTCTAGACTGGCAGGAGTTAGTAACCTGTGAACCTAGTGAACTGTGACACCAGTCTCTGCCAGGTGCTGCAGCTCCTGGGCCTGGGCCTACCCCACCCGCCTAGGCCAGGTTTCACCAGGCTGGAGAGCCCTTGTGCTACCACTTCCTTCACCAGGCTGGCTCCTTGAGCAGCCAGTGCCTTGGGGCTGCAAGAGGCAGAGATGTGCGAGTTTGCTAGGACTCACTTCAGGGAAGATACAGAGGAGGGAGCCCAGCCGATAGGCCCAGGAGGGTGAACCCAGGTGGGTCGATGTTACTGTTTGCCTAAGTTTTCCTTCTCCCCTTTTTTTTTAACACAGGGTCTCAATACGTGGCTCCAGCTATGAAAGCCTCCCAGGTGCTGGGATTGCACATCTGCGCCGGCATGCCTGGCTTCTGATCAGTGTTTCCTCTGAAGACCTGGCTGGACACGGGCTGCCTGGTCCGGAAGTCAGGGCAGGCCTTTTCCGTGCACTCAGTGATGGCTCAGGGCCTGGTACGCAGCACACTCAACAGTGTTAACGTACAGTGAACCAGCACACGGCTCAGTTGTCGTCTCTCTTGTAGTGAGCTCTGAAGAAAGCGAGTCACGGGTCCTTCCCAAAGTTGAAACACTTGGCCTCCCCCACAAACCACCCATATAGTGTTTGTTAGATGTGTTGGGTGACAGGCTTTATTTCTGGCAGGAAAACACTCTAATTAATGTGCTAATTATGCTGGAAACTGCCTCTCTTCTTCAGAGGAAAATGACAGTGCTGCAGCACTCATACTAGCAACAGAAAATCAGCTAATAGCTAACAAATAAGCTCAGGCAAAAATCAGCATCAGTTGCTAAAATGGGAGAAAGAGGGACGGAAAGAGAATGTCCCAATGGTTTGGATATCAAATCACACCTTAGTTAGGAGACACAAAAGGGAAGAAGGTAGTACAGTGCAGAAAGTAGCCTCACCCTTTCAAATGTACAGTTCCACCACATGAATGCAGCAAAGGCACCAACACCTCTGGCTGCGATGCACCAAGGACAAAACTGTACACGGGTGGAGGCTACCTCACCGGGCGGAGAGAGAAATGTGTGTAGGGCACATGGCCCCGACAGTGTGCACAAATCATGGCATCCTGCGTGCGGGCCACAGTCCCCGAGGACCAGGCATCGTGTGTGTCAGACATCCCTGAGGTGCACTGAAGACCCAGCATCATGTCAGTGTCATCTGTCCTATGTATCCCGTGTAAGTCATGAGCTCCTAACGCGGTACTCTAAGACCCGGCATCACGTGTATGTCGTGCATCCCTGAGGCAACAGACTGAGGACCTGGCATGTGCGTGAAAGTCATGCGTCCCTGAGATACTGTGCCAAGGGCCTGGCTCATGTATGTACGTCATGCATCCCTGCGCAATACACCAAATTCCACCAAATCCAACTGCTCTGTCCCGGAGGCTGGTCTGGCCTAACCACTGGCCATAGTGATTTTCGCGAAGAGTTGGCTCTGGCTAATAAGAGTGAAACCAGATCTTTGTGCATACCCAGTAGGTGAGAAACAGCTGGAGCCTTCCTCCAACCTACGGTATGAGGACAGGGAACCAAAGCCTGTTTCAGTGATCCGGTCACCAGAGGCCAGCCATAGGACCATTCAGGAAGAGCACACCAGAAAGCTGCAGGAACAACTTAACAGTCAAATCTATGCCCCAGTCGGATATTCAATTTATATGCTGTTAAAATCTCTTTCAGTTCGTTTCTGTTACAGTGCAAACATCTTGACTTTATAAGTGTTTTCATAAGATTACTTTACTTGTAGATTGCTTGGATAAATGTATTAACAATTGTTTCTTCTCAGTAAAAGTCCAAATTTTCATCAAAGCTGCATGTGTAAGGTTGATGGTTTCTCTCCATTTGTTCTTCTCTGGTCTGGTATAGACCACGAGGTTCTCAGAATACTGCAAGACTGACTTTAAGAACCTGTTAGGTAAAGAGAGAAACTGACTGTACATTATAAAATGCAACAATGACTCAAATGTCTTCTCAATGCTCTGGGAATTATTCCTAGAGTTGAGTATAACTTAATTTTTATTTAAGGAGTCAGGAAAAGAAGTATGCACAAGATGAAATAACAGAATGCAAATTATAGGAAAAATAAAAATGTTGAGCAGTAAAAGTCATCCATACCTGGATGACATTCTGGAAGCTTTATATAAAGCAAGTGCCTTTTTACACATGCTCTCAAATCCAGCCACGAGGCTTTCAAGTGACGGAAGGTAATTCCAGAAAGGATCTCTGTACTGGACTGACCCAGAGCAGGCACCGAGCCCGCACAGGGACGCAGCGCACAGCCCAGCCTGCGGAAACATCTCCACACCCGCCCACACCCCCACCCCGGGACAGAGGCCTCCGACAGCCGTCCATGCCCGTCAGACAGCCAGGGCTACGAGGGATATTCGTCCTTCAGAGTCATCAAAACGACTGCGAGTTACTCTAACCATGAGAATGCCACTTCTACTTCGCCAAAGTTCTCCAAGCTTCCCAAGTATTATAAATTTCTCCAGTTTTTATCTTGAAATAGCTTCTCAAACGACAAACCACAGATCCTTCGTTTAGGGTAGTGGTTCTTCTTCTGGGGGAGTGGGTGATTTTGTCCCCTGGGATAGCTAGCCAAACCTAATCCACTTCTCACTGTCACAACTAGGGGGTGCTATGGTACATGCTAGGCGGAGGCCGGGCTGCTGGCCTACGCAGGCACTCCCACCAGAGGAGGCGCAGCCCACAGGCCAAAGGCGCCCGGCTGCGAGCCCCAGACAGGGGGCCAGCATGTGTATCTTGTGTACAGACATGACACTCTCCTTAGGCATCGTGCCCACCCAATGCTGCAGTCGTGTTTTCCTGCTCATGTGAAATATGCGGGGATATGCCCGTGACCTGCAAAGCATTAGCTTAGACCAGGGGGGTGAACCTATGGGACACGTGCCACAGCTGACTCTTTGTTTCACTGAAAGTTCTAAAAGGTTTCGCCATCACTAGCTTAGGCCAACAGACGGCATCAAGAACTTCCAGGAGGTGAAGCGAGGCTTCAGTGATGGCAGCTCCATGTGAGCACAGGGTGCCCTTGGGTTGGTCTGTTGAGGGGCTACCTCAGTTCTGGATCTCTGGAGTCAGAGGAAGCGGGTGACACATGGGTCACCCACTTATGGATCCCTAGGTCTGCACGACAGTCCTCCCAAGCTGGAAGCTATGAGTTATACACGAGAAATCTGGTTGGCCCTGAGCCATCTGGACATGGCAGGGTCTGCCCCGCAGGCCAGACTCAGGCCTCTGCCTGAGACAGTTGTTGCTGCCATCAAGGGAGCTCAGACCGTACCTCAGGCTCCTGACACCACTCCCTGAGTCTCACCCAGCCTGCAACCGAGTGCCGTGTTATTTCTGCACAGACTGCAGAATTCTGGGAGAATGCCCATCAACCCCTGTCCAATTTGTGAAACGTGCCCACGTGGCCGTCAGTCTCAAATGTTCACAAACTCACTAGCACTAAAAACACATAGGTGGGGCCAGGCACATAGCTCAGTGACACAGCGTCTGCCTGGTAAGCACAAGGTCCTGAGTTCAAGTCTCAGTACCAAAAAACAACCCAAAAAAACCCCCACAGAGGGCTATCAGTATCTGTGTGGTTGTCGGGTGGGGTGTTTAAAAACATCTCCGAAGGCTGTTGGTTAGGGGTGGAAATTACTTAAAACTTACTCAAACACGATTTTTTGCAACAGAACATACTCACTTTAGATACTGCTGATATTCGTAAGCATTTTTTCCATGGACAAAATGAATGTTGACCAATTCTAGTGCAATGAGCAATAAAGTCAGGTAAAGCACAGGAGACAGAAGCCTAATACTGGAAATAGATAAAAGTGAATTAAAACTTGACAAACATAAATATCTTCCACTTTCATAAGGACGCTAGCTTTCCCCTAACCAACATCCTTCTGAAGCATCCTAAAGTCCAAGCACCTCAGAAGATGGTTTTCCAGTGCGCATGCGCCCGGCACTGCCTTCAGGCCAGTCTGCAGCACGCGGCAGCACCCGCCCCTCCTCAGCCTGCACACCTGGCAGCGCATCCGCAGCGCTCCCCGGCACCATGTCTAGTCCAAGCCCCAGCAGCCTGGCCTCACAGCCAGACAGTACCAGGGCTCAGTCTGCATGTTCTTGGTCACCAGCACTGCTCCCCACTACCTTAAGCGCAGTGACGAACTTTTACGAGAAGAGACAAACACATGGCTTAAATATGAAAGTATGTCCAATGGCTACTGACTCAAAGAAAATCTAACTTAAAAATTCAGATTTCCTTTCTCTCAAAACCAGTAAAGAGGTTTAAAAATAGTCTGCTTTGGTAGGAAGCGACGTAACGGCACTACCTTACCAGCCACAGGCGTGTAACCCAGGCACTCTCCAACAGCAGCCCGCCAATTCCTGTCACCAGCACAGGGAGCACCCACCCATTCAGCCCGAATTCTAGAAATTTTCCAAAATGGTCTTTTCTTAGGACCGTAGCACCTTCCAAAATATATGCTGTCAAATGAAGAAGCCACAGAGTCGACAAATCCAAAAAGGTAGAGGACTCAGTAAAGACCAGAATGCCTCCAGGTGCCTCCCGCACCTGCCCCAGCCGCACCTGGCCCGCATGCTCAGGTAGTTCCGTCGCTGCCGGGAGCGCAGCCTCCGCTCCTCCCACTGCTGGTGCCTCAGCTGCAAGGAGGCGACCACCTGGTTGGACACGACCTGCCAGTGGGAGGTGATGCTGCGGAGCACAGCCAGCACCTCGAGCACTGCTCTGGGGCAAAAGAGCACGGAGACGTGCCTGCGGCACAGTGCACTGAGCAGCAGGGCCCACCTGCAAGAGACAGCGAGACTTTTAGGGGAGGGGGCCTCGTCAGAGCACTGCTGCAGACCTACGCCCAGGCGAGCTTGCCTGCAAACCTCTGGGCGGGGGCCAGGGATGGGCTGTGCACGCACCGCAAGTGTTAAGTAGTAACGTTTAACCGCAGGAACAGATAGAACTTGTAGCCTCAGCAGATGCACCAACATGTGCACCATCACCAAACCTCATCTGATAATTCTGCTTCGGACACTAACACTGGAATCCCAATCTGCCACCCAGCTTCTCAAATTTAAAACAGAAACAGCTAAACTTGCTGTCCTTATTTGCTTAACGAGGTTTAGACTGTCACCCATCTTCACTCACTCCTCAGCAGGAGGGTCATCGAAGACCCGGGGAACATGATGATCCTCCAGCATCTGGTGACAGAGCTCTTCCAAAATTTTTGTAATTAAAGCATAGCAGGCATTTGTTTCGGTATCTTCCAATCTGAAAAACATAAAATGTTTAAAGACACACAGTCATACAAAAACGCCCACATTAGTGCCTATGCAAAGTAATTTATTCCCGTGTTCAACAAGCAGTAAACTTGTAATTTAGCTTCCCCAAATATGAAATGAAAGTGGACACCACCATAGAGTGGTAAAGATAAATAATACAGTATGTAATGTCCTATGTAGACAAAAGGTGATCTGCTGGTCACCCCAGACTTATTCCCATCAAACAAGTGTGTCTGTGACACACTATGATCTCTCAATTTGTGCCTCCACCCCTCTTCCTCCTGAGTTCTACGTCCTCTTTGTTTTGTTTTCTGGGTTTTTTACTTTTCATTTTTTGGTGGTACTGGGGAAGAAACCTAGGGAATCAGATATGCTAGGCAAGTGCTCCATATCCCTACCCCTTTTTGAGATAGGGTTTCACCAAATTGCCCAAGCTGGCTTTGAACTTGCAACCCTCTGATCTCAGCCTCCTAAGTAGCTGGGGTTACAGGCGTGTGCCACCATGCCTGGCCAGACTCCTCTAATTCTCTCCTTCACAGATCTCTGTGGATGCCGCTACCCTCCCCACAAACTGCTGAGACCTGTGCTCTGCCCCCAGGTCTCGGTAAGCAGGGCCTCCAGCTCTCCCTCCTCTCGGCAGCCCACAGGCCCAGCAACCCCTTTCCCACTGGCCTCCAGCAGCCCTGGGAAGGAAGAGCTCTTCTGATGCCCACCGTAGCTGACAACCTCGAGGGCCGCACAGCCTGAGACAACGCACCTGGCCGCGTCCTGACTGGGTTCTTCTGGCAAGGGCAGCAGAGGCCACATCCTGAGGCTTTCCTCACAGCGCAGCACCTGGGAGGAAACACGGAACTGCTTTTGAAGCATTTATAATAATATCCTAGAAAACATGTTCCCAACTGTTATAGACGTTAAAATGCTTTCTAGAAAGTATCATTTGTAAAATTCATACAGACCCTACTGCATGTGAAAAGCAGGAGGTGTGGCTCAGGAATTCAGTGTGTTCCCACAAGGGAGAGTTGCTCACACAACCAGAGACCCCTCTCCAGGCAGCCTCTGGATGGCTGTGAACACAGCCACAAGTCCTTCTCACACCCTCATCTGCGAGGTGGGACCCATATCCTCCCCTGAACTGCAACCGTGGCCAAGAGAACAGAGGTGCCCCCGACGCGCCCCCCTTGTTGTCCATGCCACGCAACTCAGGCCGAGCCAGCCGTGACCCCACAAGCCTCAGACCAGCTTCTAGCCTTTGAGGACGGGACCCTGCCCAGCGGAGCTCGGAGGGACCACAGCCCACCACACCAGCTAAAGCCCACGGGACAGAGCTCTTGGCAGAATCCCCTCAAATTTTTCACCCACGATGAGAACAAACTGAACGGTAGCTATGGACACCTCTCAATGGATAATCAGCTATGTAGCAGCGATAACCAGAGAAAGACCTCATAAAGCATGGGATTACCTGCAGCCACAGAAGACGCTATGGAGCACAGCAGGAGGGGCACCTGGGCCTCAGAAAGGGACTGCGGGGAACAAGGGAGGGACACCCAGGCTTCGGCAAAGGACGCCAGGGAGCATGGGAGGAGATAGTCGGGCTTTGGAAGAGGACAGCGTGTAACACAGGAGGGTGTAGAACTGGGGACCCACACCCAGCAGAGAAGGCACATTCTGACTTGGAGACTTTTCTCTCCACTCTCCTGCGTCTAAACGCTGCTCACGGCAAGGAAGTTCTACAAGTTCTATCCTTGTAATGGCTGCTTGAAAAGCACAAAATCATGAGAGGAATGTTGGTCACGAGTCCAGTGATGGAACAGTCTCCAAACAGCACAGCCCACATCGCGTCCCAAACCAGACCCCACTCAACCCGCTGCGGCTGTATCCCTTCTCTACAAGGACCAGGACATGCGTCCTCTCTCCTTCCCCGCTGACACCTCCACTCATGGGTGATGTTCTTCACAGACTCTGTCAGCGGCCCCTCCGTCTCCCGAGGCACAGCTTTCAGGAGCTGAGCTGATGGATGGCATGGCCGCCCGGAGAACAAGCTCACGACACACATGCATGTGAGCAGCCTTGGGGACAGTGGTCTGACAGCCTTGGGACTGAGCCATTGCAGTTCCTGTGTAGCCTTCACGTCCTGCCACACACAGAATAAAGCACCTCAGCCAATTCCCAAACTGAAGTTCCGGGCAGAAGGGCTATCAAGTTCCAGGCAGAAATGCTAGCAAGTTTGGTTTCTGTTCAAACTGTCAATTAACAAACGCTAGGCTTACACAGTGCATGAAAAAACAACTTTCCTCCCCACTGACAAGCTGTGTCCAGCCAGGGCACTCTGTGATACACTGCCCACACTCTCCACCTGGTAAGGCTCAACGCAGATACCAAACCGGAGTCACGGAGCCTCAGAAAGACTGAGCGACCTGACCGAGCTCACAGAACAGCTGACTTGCTACTGTCAGGATGTTTGGACAAGAGCCTGCACTTTGGATGCCTCTGCAGAGGGAGCGACTTCACACACGCCACCCACTCCCTGCTCCTGGCCACAGCACACCTGCTGTTTTTTTCTTTGTATTTAATATTTTTAGACTGTAAAAACAAGGAAACAAACAACTGAAAAACATGAAAGAGGCTCATCAAATGATGAAAAGTCATCCTTTGTAGGAAAGCAGACGTAGGCCACTGCAGGTTAGCCTCAAGGCCACAAACATCCCGCTTCACTGCTTCCTGCATTCTGCTGGGGTTTGACCCTTCTTCGGGTCATAGTCTAGATCATTTTCCTCTTCTCCTTCCCCTTCCTCATCCGCGTCTCCACTACCATCATACCCATCGTCACCATCTTCAATAACTTTTCTAGTAAAGTACAACTCATCCTGGGATTATACGCTCACATGAAAAGTGATCAGTTTCAAAGTCTGCAGCAAGGATAGCTTTAGCATCACCACCCAAATCTGCACTCTCAAGAACTTCAGGAGGAGCAAAAACATTAAAGAAACAATCGCTGGAAACGGTTTTAATTGCAGTACGAACTGTCCTACTTCCTTATATTTCTTTTCAATGGTTTTCAAAGTGACATTCTTTCTTTTTTTCCAATCTATTTGGCATCCTGTACAGCCCATAATTTCTGGTCCATCAAATGAAAAGGGATCAGAATTATTTGGTTCAGATATCACCCTATACGTCTTTGTGAAGAGTTGATTTGTGAAACATTCGTTGGGTTCAAAGTGAAATTCTGAGATAAAACTCCTAGGCTGACCAGGACCTGGATATTAAACTTCACTCTAATATCCTTCCAATGCTTCAGAATAGATTCATCATGCTACTGAACCAGGCCCGTGAGCAAGCCAACATTCTTAAAAACAGTCAGCCAAAATTTAGGAATTCCTTTAGGATCTTCTTTTTCTTCATCCTTTTTCTCATCTTCAATTTTAGCCTTCTCTTTCAGCTCCTCCGAAATTTCATCCACCTCATCCGGTTTCCATTCACACCCTTTTCCATAGGTTCATCATGATCTCAAATTCTTGATCTCAAATCGCTTATCAGAGGTTGACAGAGAGGAGCATACTTCCTTTCAAGATCAGGAACTTCCTCATCGAATCTGGCTTCTATCTGTGCACATTTAACCTGAAGGTTTTTGAGAGCATTCATTCACTCTTCTTTTACCTACCCTCAGCAAGTTGTCCCTGTCTGCCATGTTGCATGTAAGAACTCCAAGTATCAGCAGCTAGTTCGGGGAGTTAAGCAGCCAGAGCCGCGCAGGGAGTAACTCAGGGCGGGTGTGGCTGGAGGGGCAGGAGGTGGCACCATGAGCAGTTGGAGCTAAAAACAAAAACTGAAACCAGAAGACCCAGCATACCTGCTTTTTAAGCTGAAACAGTGGGTGGCAGCGGGAATGGTAGCCTTCCGCGAGACTCAGCAGCAGCCTTACTGCTGTATCCTCCTAGGTTAGAAAAATAGAGAATCTCACCATTTCTGGTCAGGCTTCTAGTCTTCTTCTGTTGAATTACTGATCATTTACACTCTTAATTTCTCCTCACCTTTTTCAGTTACACTGCAGTAAAACATCATTAAAGTAGGTTGGACCCAGCAGTCAAATCACAGTCAACGCGGATATTCCTAGTTTAACAACCGACCTATTTAACAACTGTTTGGGTTTACAATCCGGCCCTTCGGACTTACAAGCCATCTTTTTTTGGTAGAGTTCTGTACATCTTGTATGTAGAGCCTTGATGTCTTTTTTGGTGTAGCCAACCTTGTATATGCAGTACTGCAAGTTTTGCTGATTGTACCGCACAGTACAGTAAGTACTGTAGCTTTATGTTCTGTTATACATTATGGTACTGCATGGAAGAGTTACATAAATAAAAGCAAAGTCATCAAGCTGGGGTCTCCTTTGACCATGTCTTTGTTCTGAATACTGTAATATACATACTGTACACACTGCTTCATTTACCGACCACTTCATTCAACGACCCAGGCACAGGACTAGAACTCAGTCATTAAACGAGGAACATCTACAAAATGATGTTTAAGTGGAGCCTAGCAGCAATGATAAATTATGAAGCCCACATCCACCTGTCTCCCAAATGCAAGATAATTGTAACTGCATAAAAGCAAAAGATTCCAAACTAAAAATTTTAAGTACAATATAACTAATTTTAAATCAATACAATGAAAAGGGAATTACATGGCTAAAACATTTAACTGCCAAACACTGTATCTGTATTTTAAAAAGAATAAAAATAACATTATCTGGAGCTGAGATAACTACATAACAGGAAAATGCAAGTAGACAAAGGAAAACCGACAGAAGCAAAGAGAATGGATAGCTGAACAAATGTAAAAGCAGTAACTATCTGTCTAGAATTCATAACAGCCCAGAACAAACAACTAAAGGGGTGAGAAATTAACTTCTACGGTCCCTGCTGACCTTCTCTTCCTGCACAGAGACCACACCTGAGCGTGCTGCAGGGGGCAGGCACACAGTACCTCCGGGGACGTCCCCAGAAGGCACACAGAGAGCTCTGTGCAGGTCAGCCATGAGTCAGTGGGGACACCGCCGGGCTGCAGGTCCCTGACGAGCACCTGACACTGTTCTATGTGAAACCACTAAAAGGCCTGTAATTAAAAAGGGGCAAAGGATCCAACTGCTGTGTTGAGAAGAGTGAAGGGTGACAGAAGGAAGTGGGGGACTCACACCAGTGCCATTTCAGGGGGAGCAAAGATGGTTTCCCCAAGAGGTACCAGCAGAGAGACAGAGAGTAACAGATCTGGAACACTCTTTTAAGATGGAGGATTGAGTGTGGAATGTAAAAACAGAGAGGCCTGGCAAGCTGTGGCCTGAGCGCCTGCCTGCGAGGATGGCAATGCACCTAGGTGGGAGGCTGGGCAGGGGCAAGAAACACTGTCTCAGAGCAGCCTCCAGTGCAGTGCACAAGTCGGTTCCCTCTGCTGGTGCACCAAGAGATCACTGCTTTGTTTGTCTTCAGACTTTGTGTTTACTTTAACCATCAAGTTAAAATGGAATAATAATAGTAATGACAATAATTAATAATAATAATAAACATAGAATAGGCAGGAAATATCTGAGACAATGACAGCCGTGGGAGACTAACTCGGCAGGTGCTAAATTGTATTGTAAAGTTTCAGTGAAGGCAGGTGCTTTCAGCAGAGTTGAGGATGGCACCCAGTACGTGTGGAACGAAGAAGGTTCTCTACACAAAGTGCAGCCATTCTGTTAGTGATTTGTAAGCTTAAAAGAAAAAAAGTACAGCTAGTTTCTCTACCTCACCCCTAAAATAAACTAAGTCTCCTTGGATCAACAAAAGAAATGGTAAAAGTACTAGGGAAGATGTATGAATATACTCATAATTTTGAAATCAAAGAAGCTTTTAAGAATGACTGTAAATACAGAAGCCAAAGAGAAAAAAGAACAAAAAGCTAAAGACAACAAGCAGTATGTGAAAATAAACCAATGAAAAAAAAAATAAAGCATGCTGGGCGTGGTAATGCATGCCTGTAATCCGACCACTTGGGAGGCTGAGGCAGGAGGATTGCCACAATTTTGAGGCCATCCTGGGCCATATAGCGAACTCAAGGCCAGACCTTGCCTCAAAAAACAAAAATAAATAAATAAATAAATAATAATAAATACATAAATAAATCTTAACAAAACAGAGCAAAAGACATTGATAGGTAATGAAAGAATTATAGACCTCTACTGAACAAAAGAAAGGATCAAAATATTGCAAAGAAGTGAAAACAAGGTCTTACTGGTACTTTTGATCTTAGAACCTCACTTTCACAAAGTTACTAACACAAGTACTCATATGGACAAACATGTTCATTTCGGCATCATAATTAGGATTTTCCATGGCAGGCAAAATCATCCACCTCTGAAGGACTGATGCATGGTGCTCTGTGGATGAAGTGGAGTGACAGCTGATGAAGAGAACAAGGCAGAATAAAGCCACTGTCGGGCTGAGTGAAGATGCTGGGGCACAGAACTCATGCTCCGTGACCCACTTTGGTGAGCTCCTGGGGAAGACAGGGTGCCAAGACACCCAGCTGTGAATACTCGTCACTTCTGGAGATGGAGACCTGACGGCTTTCACACTTTATATTAATTTTTCTATCTTATGTAAACTTTTAAGCTATTCTAAAAATAACTGTCACACATAATTATATGAAAACAAAAATATCAGTAATAAATGCTCTAATATAAATTATCGGGTTGGGGGGCTAGGGATTTAGCTCAGCGGCACAGTGCCTGCCTGGCAAGCGCAAGGTTGTGAGTTTGATTCCTGATACCAGAAAAAAATACAAAATAGATAAATAAATACAAAAAAATTATCGGGCTGGGAATATACCTCAGTGGTACAAGGGCCTGCCTGGCAAGTGCAAGGTTCTCAGTTCAAGTCCCAGTACCAAAAAAAAATTATCTTATAATAACAAAAGAATTACAATCAACTGACAGAATCAAATATCCCACCCCACCAGTTTAACAGAAAACATAAAGATTTCCTAATATTTTGTTAATTGTCTTTTATAATTTGTTGTTTGCTTTTCAATACCATTCTGCTATTAAAATCAAAGGCAGATGTATCTGTAAGAAATGAATTAAATTATTTTATTTTCAGTGGTATTGACTGATACACACATTATCAACTCACAAATACTTGTGCTGGTAGAAGGATACTATAATTTAAATAAAAGATGATACAGAGTTAACTACATTTGAAAAATAAACTATATTCTTCTCTTGCCTAATGCCAGTGGTTCCCACTGATGGTCGTCCTCCCCATGCCTTACCTTAACAGTTGAGAGCACCTCTGGATCACAGAATCGCAGTAACAGGACAGTGGAAAATGCAAGCAACTGACTGGCCGCTTCCTTTGGAAATTCAAGTAAGTTGATCTCCCCGTGGCTTAAATGGTCACGTATACGGGGACCCTCCTGGTGGCTCAGGAAATCCCAGAGGAACTCCTTTCAGGGAACCGAGAGAAAAGGTTTCGTTAGTGTTCCAGGCAGAGAGAAGGGGAAGTGTAAGGCTCAGAGCAGGGTGGCACCTGACACACTTGTGGAACCCGGGGAAAGCGAGCCTTACAGTGAGCTTCACCTACAAGTGAGCACAGGCAGGACGGACTCAAGAGCTGCCTGGGAGGAGCCGCTGCCTAGTGAAAGCACCTCTGCTATTTTCACCCTCCTCCCAGGAAAGGGCCTGGCTGTCCATATTTGGAGACAAACTTTTCCAACGCAACACAAACAATCTTGCTCTTGCTTGTATGAGCAGAGTCCTTCTACCCCTGCCTCCTTCCTCCTGGCTTGCCCGTGCCCCTCTTCCAGCTTTGAAGCTGACGAAGACAGCTGCTTTTTCCCTGCAACAACTTACTCTCAAGGCCTCTTCCTCAGGCGACAAGGAAAAGAGGTCAGAAAACTCTGGACCTGGGCGCACTGCTCATAGACAGAGTGCCAGAGACTCAAAACGGAAAACAGTATCAGGTGATGGTTCAGCCATCTTGCTTTCTGGTGGGAGAAGAGAATGCCCAGGGAAATAAGGAATCCAGGAACTGGAACCCAGGTCTGCTAACTCTCAGCAGGATAGAATATCTACTTGCAGCCCAAACAGTCTGCAGTCGCTTCATAAAATATAAAAAGCCCTGAGCAATAGAAAATGGCTCTAAATAATTAAATTTTTTCCACCTAGTCTCCCATCCTCAATCTTCTTTGTCAAATTTGACAATCGCTATATTTCACCAAGTAAATATACAACTTTCTACAGCACGAACACGTACAAGCAACAAATGCACACAGTGCTAGGAACAAAGCAGCTCAGTCACCAGGGCTTAAAACAGGATCCAAATACCCAGCATCGAGCGCAGTGCCCCAGATGAGTCACGGTGCAGCTAGCTCTGTGGCAGAGGATGAGGCTGAGAGCTCCGCAGTGGCCCAGGGCTGTCCTGAGCACACGGCCACAGTAATTTCCCTCTGCGAAGTACACATACATTCATAAGCATGAGAGTACTAGACTGGGAAGTACCCAGTACTTTACCATAGCAGGCTCTCCAAGGAAAAGAGGTAGCTGGTTGATTTTACCATCACTCAAATGTTTTGCCAGTATCTAGAACACCAAAAATAAATACACTGTTAAACTGACACACACCCCCTCAACACTCTTACTCACACACACTCACACACACACACACACACACAAAGGTAAAACACACATGTCCTTAAAGCTAGTATACTGGTTGCAGTTTTTCTGAATGGTAGCTGCTATGATTTTAAAATTGTTCATGTTCCATTTTAATTTGCTTGTAACTAACATGTCATACTAAATGTACCATATCCTTTGACTGAACATTGTACATTGTGTGTGTGTGTGTGTGTGTGTGTGAGAGAGAGAGAGAGACAGACTTCCCTATGCATCATCTTAAAACCCACAGCACTTCAGACTTCGTAGCCCAATAGCCCTGACCCAATCCTGGACACTAACCCAATTTGACTACAAATGTAATTTAATCCTGACATTATCAGATGAGCCATGCACTGAAACAAAGGCAAGTCATTCACCAATGGAGTAAAGCTGGAGGCAGGCAGGTACGTCTTTAACTCTCCACTGCAGTCACTTAGCAGTTTCATAGTCATTGTAAAAGCAAACAGACCTGAGTATCCAAAGTTCCACGGCAGCCTTGCCCCTGGTTTTCCCAATAGTTCTGTCTGTCACTGCTCAGGTACTAGTATCGAGTTAAATAACCCTTAGTTATTGTGGACTAATCAGATCCGCAATCTCCCAGATTGCGAGTGGACTGTGAAGGTTTAAATAAATGAGACAAGTGAAATGATTTCAGGGTTCCAGGAGGGTCTCACTCTCTTACAGCTTCGGTATTCTCCAGGTACAGACAGAGACTTCTCCGGGCAGTCTGTATTTATTTGGTTTACAAACAAAAGAGGGGGATACTCAAGAAAATGGGGGAATCTGAGCAGGACCTTGGGAGAATTTTTCCAAGTAGTCACTTATGTCAATCAGGAGAACTACCTTATCTTTAAGTTGGTATTCACTGTAGGAGTCTGCAGCTACAGTCTCCTTTAAGTTAACCGGGGTTGGATCCAGACATCCTCAGCTGTGGCCTGACCTTATCCTTTGAGGTGTCACAGCTTCACAGGCCAATACAGGCCTCAGCGGTGACCAGTGACTCACAGAGGTTTACTTACCATGAGTCCACTACCCATACCCCGACAAGGTGCCTAAGCTTTGGACAACTCACAAGTAAACAAGGGAAGCCAGTCGGTTAATATTAAATCCTGACCAGTGCCACTTTGTAGTGGTCTCCATCATACCAGAGAATTACTGCGCAAGAGCACACATTCAGAAGCCTCTGCACTCTATGGGCGATATAAGACATTTTCAATTCTTTGTCTTCTGGGTTTTCACTTTAGAGTCACACCCCAATGTGCAGATTAAAAACATCAGCACACACTATAAGCAAACAGCAATAGCTGAGGTAGGTATCCCATGCAAAGATAATCAACATTAATCTTAAACCTAAAATGTGCATCTCTAAGTACAGCCAAATATGTCAATGTCTTTGGTGTTTTCCAACTTTCAGTTTTGTGTAACTTTAGAAAGTAGAATATCAGGTCTCAAAATTAACCTGAAAGTATATTTAAACAATTTTTTGTTTATATTTCTGTCAATGTTTTCTTATAAGTACATGACTTATGGTCAGTAACTTTGTGTTTTAATTTGTATTTTAAAAGAAGATAATGTTTTGTCTTAAGTTGCCTTGTAAGTATACTCACTTCATCAAAGGTTGTGTAAAGAGTCGTTGACTGTAGAAAAGGAAAGAAAAAGAAATAATTAAAGCACAGTGCAATGGAGTAGTATCATTCAAAGCAGGGGGAAAGTCCCCTAGCCACAAAGCTGAACCAGCAAAGCCAGGAGGTGACGGTGTCCAGTGACACCGACTCTGTTATTTCCGCCCCCCCTCCATAGAGAGGACCTGGCTGTCCATGTTTGGAAGCAAACTTTTCCAAGGGAACACAAGAGGGCTGGGGATTTAGCTCAGCGGCAAAGCGCCTGCCTGGCAAGCGCAAGGTCATGAGTTCAATTCCTGGTACTGGAAGAAAAGACAAAAGACAAAAAAAAAATACAAAACAAAACCAAGGAACACAAGAAATGCTGCTCTTGTTTGTTTGAGCAGAGGCCTGTACCACTGTTCCTTCCTCCTCCGGGATTGTCTGTGGCTCTCTTCCACCTCTGGTGAAAATGAACTTTCATCTAACAACACTTTGGGAAAAAATAAATACATTATAAAAGACAAAGGCTGGAGCTATGGCTTAGCACTATGGCTTAGTGCTTGTCTAGCATGTGCAATGCCCTGTGTTAAACCTCCCAGCACCACACACACACACATGCATTCACGCACATACGCGTGTGTGCACACACACACACATGAAAATTCATTTAAACTGTCAAGGGATGTTAGAATACTGTTTTTAAGTCCTTTAGCTCAGTTATTTCTAAAGTTTATGATCCTAGGCCTTTGCAAATCACTACCCACACAAACACAACACGGTGCTGATGGCTGCTATCTGTGCAGCCATACTAAATACTAAATACTAAATACTAAATTAAGGACTATAATTTAGTATTTTCTGCTTGTGCTACCTGCATCTTGGTATGATTAGCACCGGTTCAGATACAGGCTCCAGGCCAGGCTCCTAAGAGTGCTAATCCCAACCTCATCAGCTTCCAGAAGTGAGACCCTAGGCAATTGTTTCACCCCAGGCTCAGGTTTTCTCAGCAAATGAGGGCCTGAATAAGGCAGCCTTAAAAGGTTTCTGGGAGAATGCAGTGATACTCACACAATGTGGCAAATCAGTATTTTATGTAAGCCAATTTTTTTTTTTTTTAGAATTTATCCCACACTGACCCTTGATAAAAGAGTCTCAGGGATGTGCTTTATTATTTTTATTTTGTTTTTTGTGGGTACCAGGAATTGAACTGAGGACCTTGCACTTGCCAGGCAGGTGCTGTGCCATTAAACTGTATCAACGACCAGTTCCTTTCACTGTAAGCCAGTTGTTAAAAAATATTTTATTATTGCTTAATGACATATTTTCTGTGTAATTCAGGTTGAATGTCCCTTACCTAAAATGTTTGAGAGCAGAAGTGTTTTAGATTCTAGGCTTTTTGATTTGGGAATAGTTCCACATATGGAGAGAAAGAGGTAGATTTATAAATCTCTTACGGCTGGGGCTGAAGTCTAACACAAAACTCATTATGTTTCACATACACCTTATATACACAGCCAGTAGGCGGTTTTATATACGTTGTTAGTGTACTTGTATTTGGACAGTACCCATCACAGGAGGTCAGATATGGGATTTTCACTTGTGGGAGCTTGTCAACATTCAAAAAGTTTTAGATTTTAAAGTAAAGATTTTGGATTTTTTGGACTAGGAATGTTCAAATTGTATTATCAAATGTTCTTCAACATTTATTATTATAAAGATGACTCTAAAATTGGTATTCATAGGTCTCAAACTAGTATTGCTGATCCTAAAATTTTTCCTGCACTATATCCTAAATATACAATTGCCTACTAAATATCACCACTTTCTCAAAAAATAAACTTTTCATTTATCTCCATAAACTACACATGCCTCTTGCTATTTATTTTTTGAAGAGAAAAAAAGCAATAACAAAGACAAAAACAAAACAACACAAAACAATAAAAAGATACAGAAATTCAAAACAAGATGACAGGAAATTAATGATTGTTATATTACATATTGTTATTGTCAATGAAGTTGCTCAGGTTACCATATGTAAGAATGCAAGATTGATCAAACCATTAAAGAGAATAAAAAATAATTTTAAAAATTAGAAACCATACAGAGAGAAGGAAGGGAAAATATGTATGCATATACAAGGATAGCTGGGATAACTGTACTGCTGATGTCTATTGGTTTATTAAAAGGAACAATTAATACTTAATTTTTCCTGACCAATTGTGCATACTTATATCTGATAATCTCAACAAGTAATCTGAAGACAACAATATGCAATATAATAACCATTGTTGAATTCCTATCTTGCTATTTATTTTCATAAAATTAGTACAAATGTCTTCTCTCTCTCCTCTAATATGCCCATAAGTCAGAAAGCCTGAGAAATTTGGAAATCCACATGCAGAAGTATGAAACTACAATTCTCTTTCTCACTGTTTGTAAGAGTTAACTAAAAATTAAATGTAAGACATGAAAACACTAGAAGAAAACATCAGGGACATACCTCAGGACATGGGAACTGGCAAGGACTTTTTGGTCAAGACCCCAAAGCACAGGAAACAAAAGCAAAAAAAGCAAAGGGATTATATCAAACTCAAAAGCCTCTGCCCAGCACAGGAAACAACAGAGTACAAAGACAGCCTACAGAATGGAAGGAGACGACTGCAAACCACACATGTGACTAGGGGTGGTTACCAGAATATATATGGAACTAAAAAACACTCGAAAGAAAAACAATACAGAACTTCTTCAACAAATTTAAAAACATGATTTAAAAACAGACAACAGACATTTCACAAAACTAGCCAACAAGTATATGAACAAGTGTTCAGCACCACTAAATCATCATGGAAATGCAGATTAAAACCACAGTGATGTATCACCTACACTAATAGGATGGCTCCCATGAAAAAGACAAAAGATTACAAGTGCTGGCAGGATGCTGGAAAAAGGGGCACACAGTTGGTAGAAATGTAAATTAGTACAGCCATCGAAGAAAACAGTACAGAACTTCTTCAAAAAATTAAAAATGAAAATGCCATGCAATTCAGTAGTCTCACTCCCGGGGATAGATCCAAAGGAAATGAAACTGATTGGGTAAGCAGAAGAGACCTCGGCACTCTCATAATTACCGCAGCATTATTCATAAAATGGAAATGGAAGCCAAGAAATGGAAAAAACCTACGTGTCATCAATGTGTACATATGCACAGGGGAATACTACTCAGCCACAGAAAAGAATGAAATTGTGTCATGGGACTTTGGAAAGAACCTGGGATCATTAGTGTAAGTGGCCAGGCACAGAAAAACAAGTACCTTATGACCTCATGTGGAATAGATCAAAAAAAAGTTGATCTCAGCACTTGAGAGGCTGAGGCAGGAGGATCGCCACAAATTCAAGGCCAGCCTGGGCTACAAAGTGAGTTCAAGACCAGCCTGAACTGTACAGTGAAATCCTGTCTCAAAAAGATGAAAAAAAAAAAAAAAGCCGAACTCATGAAATTGAGAGTAGAATGATGAATGGTGAAGGCTGGAGTAGGTGAGAGGAAGTCAGAAAGGGGGAAAGTGGTCAATAGGTGCTAAGTTACAATTATATCTGAGACCTCTGGTGTGCTCCAGCACAGGAGGGTGACAATGATGTATTACACATTTCAAAAACCTAGAAGAAAGGGTTCCGAATTCATCGGTCATTTTTCATTCACTGGAGCAAAATATCCCACACCGTAAACTTAAAGAATAGGTGTGTTTGGGTCATGACTTCAGAAGGTTCAGACCATGCACGGTTGGCTGGTTCCAGGGCAGAAATGGCACGGTGGACAGACACAGCAAAGGAAAACTGCTCAACACATGGCAGCTAAGAAGCACACAGAGCGGAAGAAGGGAGGAGCCGTGGACAGGAGGTACCCTTCCAGGTTACAGCCCCACTGACGCACCTCCAACCAGCCCCACCTCCTAAAAACAGACAACAGATTCAGCTACTGGACTCATCAGAGGGTGAATCCCCTGAAGAGCGCAGCATCACCATGATCCCATCGCCTTCGGAAGCCCAGTCTCTCTTCTGGGGGCTCTGAGGAGGCAGATGTGTTTGACTTGATTTGAACACTGCAGTGTATACCTGGATCAAGATGCCACATGGTACCCCATTAATATAAGAAGTTTTCACACTTATATGTATCAGTTTTTTTAAAGGGTCAGAAAGTCTTTGCTTCATGTGCATCTAAGTGTCCTGCAAAAGCCTTGTGCTGAGGTGTTGTCTCTAGAATGGCACTGTGGGGAGGGGGGCGTCCTGGAAAGCTAGGGCTTGGTGGGACATCTCTGGGTCCCTAGAGGCAAGCCCTCAATGGGATCTAGGCCACCTCAATTTCTCCAGTCTTTTGTTTCCTGGGAGTGACTGCTTTCATGCTCCTGCCGGAATGTGCTACTGTAGTCCCAAAAACAATGGGGTCAACTATCATGGATAGGAACCTCAAACTGTGTGCTAGAAATAAACCTTTTCTCTTAATTAGTTGGTTGTCTCAGGTTTTTGTTATAGTAATGGAATGCCAACCCAGTCTTACTAAAATCCACCTGTCTTGGAGCCTGAAGAGATTGTATGCCACAAAAAGTATTCAATAAATAATAATGGCACTAAGGGATTTAAGGAATATCTTCACATATGTATAACCCTATAAATTTAGTTTCTTCTAGATACAAACCTGGGCTAAAACACGCTATGCTTTGGTCAGTGATACCCTGTGCACCAACAGGCATGTTATTTATTAGCATAGCCAAATAACAAATACACAGCAGGATCTACTGATCCCAATGGCCACGCAGGCATTGTACATAATGCCCTGCAACTAGTACAGGGAGATCAAAGCGAGCTGTGAGGAGTGAGGTCCTAGCTTTTCCTCTTGGTTGGGGGACATGACCAGATGTGGTCAGAGTGTCAAGGAACAAGATGTCCAGGAAAGGCAGACACAGCCAGAATCTGGTGTTAATGAAAACTAAGATGATGCAGAAAAGAGCAGAGTATCTGGTAACGTATCTGTATCTATGGGAAAGAACAAGCTGTTGTAAATACAGTTGACTTGAAATGCTAGGGAAAGGACATATGAAAGTACTCAGCAAACAGGTATAAACCTAACTCTCTTCTAAGAAATGTCAGAAGCAGTGCCTCAGGGGACCCCTGGCATTTAATATTACAAACATAGTACTGCTTTACATGAGAACTTCTGATATGTTGGTTTTCATTTTGGTTAGGCTCCAAATTTGTTATTATGTTGTTCCTACAGAGGTAATAACTTCTGGCATAAGACTGTGTGAGCTCTCCCATGTGAAAATTTGGACTGAGTAGTTCTGAGGAATGCTTATCTAAAGAGTAGACCTAGTGGGAGAATTAGGGTGTCACAAGTGACAATCATTGTTGGTGATCTCACGAGGCTACAATGACGGGCCACTGATGTGGCTACAGAGAGCGAAGTGCTACTACTTTGTATCATGAAGTTTAAAAGAGTATTTGGAAATATACCCAAAATAATAATAAGTATAATAAATATAGACACTATAAAATCATTATATAGGAAGCCACAAAAAAGGATAGAGAAGCCTTACAAAGAAAGATCTTAGCTAAAAATTTCCTCCAATGGCAAATAAAATGAGATGAATATTTCTTAAAATTTTTACCTAGCCACTGAAAAACTATTATAGCAGCAACAACAATCATAACTGACAAGAGAAGGGTATATACCTCAGCAGTCAAGAGTGTGTCTGGGCATTTGTTAACTGCTGCAAAAACTCTCCTAAGCCCAGCCTCCAGCTGTGTCAGTAACAATATGGTGCAGTCGGCAAACCTGCAATATCGAAGGAAAACCCAGCAAAACTTCGTATTTTAAAAATAAGTAACAGCATCACCAGCACAATCACTGTAGTCCGGATACAACCAATGTGGTATCAAAAGAAAGATGTTACACTGCTTGCTAATACAAAAACAAAATAAAAACAAACTTCCATAAGAGAGGTAAATTCAAAAGCACTTTCCGTTGTTTTAATGTTTGATGAACAATTTTTAGTAGCTTCAGTAGAGTAACATATCATCAAAGATCTACCTAACTTGTTTAGGTAGACACTTTTGAAATCTATGTAAAACACCAAGATTTCAGGGGGTTGTCAAGGCACAAAAAAGAATGTACCAGGATGAGGTCACCTGACAAAGAACAAAGACCAACTCCTTTGTCCTCTTGGTCTCTATATGTCATTCATGTTTTGCTCTTGCACAAGGCTTGCTCCCAAGGGAGGACGATGACCTAGCTTACTTAACTGTGTTTCATGATTCTCTAATTCTGGACTCAATATTTCTCTTTTAGTAAAAGCTTAAAAAAACATTCTGAAAAGCAAATAGTGAAGTCAGATATGGTCGTGCAAACCTGTAAACCCAGCACTCTGGGAGGCTGAAGCAGAAGGATTACAAGTTTGGGCCCAACCTGGGCAACTTACTGACTTAAAGAGGCCCTGTCTCCAGTCCCTCCCTAGTACCACCAAAAGAAAATTATATCAGCTGTATCAATAGAATAGCACCTAATGCTTCAAGCACAATTATAAGCTGTCTTTTAAGTAATTATGTGAAGGCATTTTCCGTTTGGTCTAGTCTTGCGTTTGCCCCATCTGTTTACTTATACTTTAACAGCAAAAACACATGAACAGTCAAGGGCACTGAGAAGGCCCGGCCTCCAGCCACCCTGCCATGCCACCCTTCCATTACCTGTGTGCCTTGAACTTCATCAGTGCAATTTCCCAATATGGTAACATGATTTTTAATATAAAGGTGGATTTCGTCATCACTTCTTCTAATACTGAAAGTATCTTATGAGTAACATCTGCAAAATAAGCAAATATCTTTGAAACAATCACACTGACCAATGTAACTGGGGAGAGATGCCAGTGAGCAAATCCCTTCAGGTAGATGAACCCTGACCCCTTGGCAGCGCACTGCTCAAAGAGGAAGACATCTGATTTACAGCCACAGCGCCGTGGCCAGGGAGCCGTCCATGGGGCATGGGACATGGACAACTATATCTCTACAATGACTCAGATGATAACTCTGAGCAGGGTTCAAGGTAAAGCAGCTAGTACAGTGACCAAGAGAAATGTATTTTCAGAAAATGTAGTAGACCCTTTATACCGGTACTAGGGGCATGATTGTGAGTACAATGGGCAGTAGGCAAAAGGAGAAAAACCAATGTGCACCATAAACAGCCCTAAGGCTTTGGTATGTCAAAACCTAGCTCTACCATCATACGGATTCGTGCAGCCATGACTGTCAGGTCCCCATAGCAGTCCCAGAGTGATGGGAACAGGTCATGTCTAACGAGTTCCTCAAGTGACCTCAAGGCTATCTTGCCACTGGAGAAAAACTTCTAGAGTTCAAGTTTTGATGCTACCGACCAGCTTTACAAATGTCTTCATGAAGATATATTAAGGGAGAAAACATTAAATGTAGTACTTGCCAGGAAAAACAATTAAATCTTCCAAGTTTGTAAGCGTTATAAAAGATCGATGAGCCAATGTGACTTTAGTTTGTTGACAATAACTCTCGAGTAACTGACCCAATCCTGCTGTCAACAACAGCAGCATTGAACAGTATCTAGGAGAAAATACCACAGACATCCGTTAGCAGGATGAACATGGTCACACACACAAATGGCTTCATGTTAAGAAAGCAACGCACTATCAAATTGCAGAAAATTCTCCACAGATGAAGGAATTAAACTGTGCAATGGTTGGGAGGAACAACAACATCTCAGAAACTCCTGAGATTTCCACCAGGCAAGCACCTGTGTGTATGGGTCACTATGTCTTCTCAATGGCCTGTAAGGTATAACGTACTGAAACCACAGTCCCCACTCTGGTAACTCTACAATTAATGTGCAACTTCACCTTCAAAATTCTGTCTCAAACTCTCATTTTTAGCCCGGTATGGTGGCCACGTCTGTAACCCCAGTATTCTGGGAGGATGAGGCAAGAGGACCACAGGTTTGAGCCCAGCCTGAGCATCTCAGGGACACCAGTATCAATAAATAAATACACATATGGACAGAGGTACATACATGCATCAACAAACAAACCATCTCTCTTGTTTTTCACAAAATACCTCTTTCCCTTTTATGAAACTGAAGATAAATTCATAGGTGGCTAGGAAAAGGTAATCAGCAGCTTACTTTGGAGGAATTTCTTGAGGTGACGCAAATCCATGCCACAGGACATTCCGCAGGTTGAGTCCACGGGGCGAACCGATGAAGACTTTGAGCACATCCATCTAAGCCAGTTGGACAGTAATGCAGTGAATGGTTACATAACCGTAGCAATGTTGAAAAAAACCAGTGCAATACTGAGAAAACATTTACCTTCTCCCTTAGAGCTAAGACAGCCAACAGTTTTGGCTGGCATAAAGAGATAATAAGAACAAGAGTGAGACAGTTTGCTGATGACAATTTCTCAACTTTAAATAATGAATCAGGCTGCTTTCTAGTCTGGCCAGCACAGCTTTCAGCATGAGGCTGCCCTGGCTTCCTTGCCAGGCTTCGGCTGCCCACTTCAGTCAGCTGCCCATCAGTTACCCATTAGTCTTAAGTCTCCAGTCAGTGTGGTTGCCAGGCCTGTATTCTTAGCAGTCTGAGAGGCTGAAATACGAGGATCACTAATTCAAGCCTAGTCTTGGCAATTTTGCAAGACCTTGTCTTAACATTTAAAATTGAACAGTGGCAGCAGCTTAATGTGTCATGGGCGGGGCAAAAGAAAGAATATCCTATTTATGTGCCTGCTAGAAGGCTGCAAAAGTATATAGCTCTATACCACTTCCTGTCACATCTAAGTCTTTTCATGGTAAGTATGAATGGTTGCAAGAAGCATAAATTGCCATATGTTATAAAAATTGATATTTTAGAACAAAACCACAATATCATTATCTTTAAGAGTTAAAACTTACTCTGTGTTGAGTTACTATTATAAACATGTAATGGATCTAAGCAATATAGTTAAAATTGTCCCTCTGACTGAACCCCAGAGGTTATTCTACCATGGTCAGGCTCAGGGTGGGAACACCTTCAGTGTGGGTAGAAGTGGGGGAATTCTGAAAGGAAAGGTAGAAAAGGTGACACAGTGGCGTTAGCTAATGTCACCAGGCTGCTGCTGTTATTCTGTAAGTTATACATAAATGAGCTTACCACAGCCTGCCCAAAGACATGAGCAAGCTCCTCGGATGCAAGGAGATCTCTTAAAAGAAAGGGGCATTCTTTCCCAATCAGCAAGAATGCCTGAAATTCAACCAAGACATACAGAGCAATTATGCTATAAGAAGCCTATAAGAAGCCAATTAATGGTAAGAACATTATCCATGAAGCAACTGTTGTACAAATGAGAAAAGTACCCAGAAATAAATGTTATAATTTCATAATCATTCAAAAAATATTGAAAACTTATACCAAATTATTGTATTTTATAGGAAAATAATGATTACAATAAAAAAAATCTGAGGGCAGCTAAGTTTCATATTCATCCAAGCTATGTAATAGGCTGGTAAGCAGTCTTTACACTTACATCACCCAAGGCTCGCTCTAGACACGATGTCAGCTTCATTAAGCTCAGAGAAATGGTAGCAGAGTGCAGGCTTCTCAAGGCATCAAACACTTCAGGAAATAGCTACAAAACACATGTTAGAACTCATACTCATGAGTATTTCTCAATACAGCAATACCACACATTTGAAATTCAGACCTCCAAATAGTTCAACTGCTGTTTTAATTCTTTGTTTAAGTAAATATTTTAATTCACATTTTACAATGCCTAAAAATCAAGAAAAATACTCTAATACCTAAGAAGTTCTTTGAAAATTCCTTATTTAAATGCATACTAAATAAATCCTGGCATAATTGTGAACTGAGGAGTCAAATATTTTCACTTAAATCTTATTTCCCCCTATGATTTAGGATGGTTCTTAATGCTAGATAAAAACAAGGTAGTTCACCCTACACTTAGGAGCATCTTGAGCTGGTGGCACATACCTATAATCACAGGACTTTGGGAGGCTGAAACAAGAGGATCACAAGTTCAAGTCCAGCCTGGGCAACTTAGTGAGACTCTGCCTCAAAACAAAAAAAGTTTGAGGATTTAGCTCAGTGCAACAAAATAAAACAAAACAAAACAAACAAAAAGCAGTGAGAAAAACAGTGCTATGGTTTGGATCTTAAATATCCTCTTCCACAAGCCCATAAGATAAAAGTACAGTCACCAGTCTCTGGTGCTCCTGGGAGGTGGCTTGACCTTTAGCACCCAGGGCCTGAGGAATGGAGTCATTCCCTTGAAGGGTGTACTGAGACCTAGTCCCTATACCCCTCAGTGCTTTCTGGCCACAAGGCAAGCAGAGTTCCTCTGTCATAGGTTTCTACCGTGATGTTCTGCATCATTACAGGCCCAAAACCAACAGGGCCAAGAACCACGGGGGGAATTCTCTGAAACAGTGAACCGAAACAAACATTTCCTCCTTACCAGTTGTTTATCTCAGGTATTTTATTACAGTGAGAAACAGGTAACAGAGAAGCAATGATCCTTCCGCTTTAAATTAGGAAATTCAATTTATTTTAGAATGAGACTTGTTACAAGTTCTGCTTTGTTACAGAACTTTGTTACACTTCCCATGTTAAATGAAATGGAAAAAAGATTAACAAAAAATTAACCAAAACAAGGATTGGTATTGTGCTCCACACAACCTATCCTTTCTTCAGTGTACTCTTTAAAAGCCATGCATCCTCACCTCTGGTCCCCCAAGAACACCTTACCAGAGGCTTGCCTGTACTCTGGAATGCTCATGATCTGTCCCAGAATGAGCAAGCTTGTATCAAGCACTACCTCTCCAACTCCTAAACCTGTGAATCCAAAAGCTGCCTTTCTTCAAAGGGGTGTGTTCCTCAGTTCAGGCTTTGGAGGCTTTGCACAGTAACTCATGCTTCTCCCACAATCTCTTAACACTTCTGCACAGAGAGGGTCCAGGGATGGAGACCTGAACTCTTTACAACTGGCAAGTAATGAGAGTCTCTGAATGGTATCTGCAAAGCCTTTTATTTCTATAGGTATTCAAAAGTCAAACCTCTGGAAAACTTGTCCACTGGAACCACGGCGCATACTGAATTTCAAACTGCCCTTTGGTCAGAGATAAGAAATGCAGATGGATGGCCTCACACACAGGGCCCAGCCGCTGCACGCTCTCCCAGTAATTGAGACTCTGGTCTTAAAAGATGAGAAAGCAAGTGTTATAGTACCACAAAAATACCTAAATCATCAAAGAAAAAAGTGCTTTAACTGTCAAACTTCCCCCAAATAAAAAATCAGCTAGCATATGATAAACATATGTCACTGGCGATAAACTACACGATGGTGATCTTACCATAAAGGAAAAAGTATCAGTACAGGTTGTAAAACACTTAAACTGGACAAAATATTTTATTCAATGTCATTACTTGCATATAAATTGACATGAAATCAGATTCACACTGTGTACATCTCCTCTCATCTAAACTTTCAGTTATCCAGTCAACAATGGTACAAAAAATACTAACTGGAAGTTTTACAAATAATCCTTTTGCTTTAAACTGGGTGCTGTTCTAAGTAGCATGATGAAATTTCACATTGTCCCATTCACCCCTTTGGTGTATCCACATTGTAAACATTACTCAACCATGACTCATTTAATAGTCATCTCATTTACCAGATCAACTATCACACAGCGGCACAGTGCTCGTACTCAAGTAATTCTTACTTAACTATGGCCCTAAACTACAAGAGTAGTGAACCATGCAAAGGAAGCACCAGGACATAAACTATGGAAAGACAGATGTGGTACCCCATGGTAACATTGCAGTGCACACAGGAAAAACACAGTATGTATAGGTTCAGTGATATGCATTATTTTGGCATCCACTGACATGGATGGCATTGAAAGGTATGCTCCCAGGATAAAGGGGAATTACTGTATATAATATTGTAACTTTTTAAAACTTATCATTATTAGATCATGACACTTCTAATGCCAGTGAATTATTTGAGAAAATAAACTGTGTATTTTTTTTTTGTCTTTATTGTTTTGGGAGCCAGGCATGGTGGTGCATGCCTGTAATCCCAGCACTCAGGAGGCTGAGGCAGGAGGACTGCTGGGAGGTGGGAGACCAACCTGGGCTACAAAGCGAGCTCAAGGCCAGCCTGAAATGCATAGTGAGACCCTGTCTCAAAAAAACAAGAAAAAGGAAAAAAAGTTTTTATTGTTTTGGTAAGTTAAGGGTTGAACAACCACATTGCTCACAATGAAAAACACAGAAGTCTCCCACTTACCCACCCCCTCAACTCTGTAATAGGTGTTATTAATTTTCTGTGTATATTTACAAATATTTATACACATACAAGCAAACGTATCTATGTGCTTCTATTATCTTTTCACTGGGAGAAATTTTAATCAGATGAGACTCTTCACTCCTTTTCATTGCTGCCCCATGTTCCACTGTGTGTATTTATCATAACTTACTGAATCAGTACCCTAATGCTGGAAGTTTGGCTGTTTCCCAAATACTGATCTGTTTGTTTAGCCAGCACAAACAATGCTGCAAATAATAACCTTATACCTACACCTTCACATCTGTGAGCACAACTATCTTATTAATTCTTGGACTTAGTGGGTGACAGCAATTTTATGTGTAGTTCTTAGAACTATTACTGAATTTACCCAACCATATCCCTTTCCCAAAAAAGTACAATACTTGAAGACATTTAAAATTATTGTATATTCTACAAGTAATCATTTCATATTCTTAATTCACATGACTTCTACAGACAATTGTCTCAGGGCTCTAAGATCTACACCATAGCCCACCACAGTTTTCTCAGCCCAGCATCCCTTGAATTTTCTCTATTTCTCTGGCCCCAACTCTGTCTTTTCACACTGATTTCTTTTTTCCTTTTGAGTTAGGCTTGTATTATAACAAAAACAAAAAGCAATGGTTAGAAAGGGGGATTTTACAGGTCAAGACAATTTCAATAGACGAGCACTGACTAGAGTTTAGGGTACAAAAACAGTACAAACCTGGATGTGTATAGCTTACACAGTTTGTGATTGTTTTCCAACATACTTCACCATTTTGAGCTACAATGCTATTGATATTACAATTTTCTTTCAACTCAAACCCAAGTTTACAAATCATGTCATATACGCAGGGAGAAAGACATGTGGTAATGGGATCCCCTATTAAAATCTGAAATATAAAACATAAAAGGCAGTTTACAGGAAAGAATATTATCATGTATCTAAATCACAAAAAAATTATATCTTAATATAAATGCATTTAAGTGTGCTGCTGTTAGGTTTTCTAGATAGCATGGCAGCTGTATGAGTAAAGCACTGCAATTGAATATTAAAGGAAATTTATGTGCTTTGAAACGTTTAAAATTTTAAATCATTTTATCAAACTTGTTAATATAGAAGTGCACAGATGCTCCATGAGTTTCATGAATAGTACACTATTCTTTTTGGTATCCCTTTAGTATCCCACTTATCAAAACAAACATTTTTATGGTTAGTGTGCGTGTAGAAAATAGCCTAATAAGGCTGCCCCAACCTCAACCATACTGTAACATCCTACAACACAGATCATGCCTTACACTCCGCACAACAATTTATTGAATAACTGGCTCCCACTCTGAGCTCCGCCACCTTCAGCTTAGGGGAATGACTACCACTAACACCTAATTCTGTAAGTTCGCTCTCGGTCTGTTACAACACCTACGTCTCCAAATGGATGCGGAAGTTGGCCACCCGCACCACGTGCCCGTCACACTGCTCAGAGCACCTGCCCAGAACAGCACGGGAACCTGGCCCTTTCGCCACCCGTGTTCGACCCTCGACATCTCCGCGCCTGGCCCTCCACTGGACAGACACGACGCTGGCCTCACACGGCAGCGTTAGTCAGGGCTCTCGGCGAGCTGCCAGGTCCCAGCGCAGCTGCCTCCATCCCTGACAACACACGTCTGCGGAAGAAAACGAGTACAGCCCGATGGGCGACAGCGACCTATAAGGACGTGCGCGGTTGTGCATCGCAGGGACCCTGTGCTGACAACCCTCAGAACACGTCCGCCTGGAAACCAGCTGGTGACATCAGTCAGCCTAGCACCGCGTCCACTCCGCGCGCCCTATGGGCGCGCCCTACCTCCATCACATCCGGGTCCAGCCACAGCTCACGCGATGACGTCACACCCCGCCCGCCAGGGCTGCGGCCGCGCACAACCAATGCGTCACTTCCCGTCGTGAGCTAACCAAGGCATCACTTCCGGCCGCGCGCAGTGTAGGAACTATACTTCAGATCTAGAATGTGCCTTCTGAGGCGTTTGGCCCTGAACGGAAACTAGTCTTGGTGGCTTATTGGGAAGCTGAGCAAGATGGAGAAGCGAGGCCGAGGCCAGAAAGTGCCCAACAATCAGGCCCTTCAGCCGCAGTCAGTGGGGTTTAAGAAAGAGAGGAAGCCTAGCATGTTCGAGAAGGAGTCAGTGAGTGCGAGACCTTACAGTCCTGTTCAGTTGCTTGTCTGCTGACCCCACAAAGCACAGGAGGGCACACAATGTTTCTTTGCTTCCCCCTTCGAAACTGGATTCTGAGCATGGATATAACTTCCCCTGTAGATTTGTCTAAGGGTTTTAAGTTCATAGAACTCTACGTTAAGTAATTGAAAATTTATTTTACGTGAACGTCTTCAACTATTCAGACTTACAGATTTCCAAAGAATAATTTAATGTAGCTTCAATTTTACCAACCGAAAATGAGTGTGTGTATGCAGAATATGTACGAGAAAAAAAAAAAAACTGGGAAGCCAGACAGCACAATGAGCTATTTTTGAGTTTTTAAACATCAGCTGTCTCCTTAATGTAAGATTATGTACGGGAGAGAAAAGTTGAAAGTATTTTTAACTTGCCTGATAGTAATGGAAAACGCCGTTATTCAGTTTTATTGTTAGAATATCAATATTTGTGTATTGAAACTATGAGAAAAGTAATTTTCTTATTTTAAAAATAAAAGGAAAACGTTAACAGACAGACAACCTGTTACAAAATAGCTAAAGAACAGTACAAACAATGCAGAGTTACAAAGTGGTAGGAAATTAACAATGCTTATTGTATTACATATTAATATCTTCAAAGTAGTTTCTCATGAAAACAAATACAGACATGCAATATTGATCAATCAAGGACTCATTGACAGTTTCTTTCAGCAAAGAAATAGAAGACTAGTTCAACTATGTTAGCTATCCTGTATATACATAAATACAAAATTTCTCCTTCTTTCCTTTCTCTTTTCCCACATCCCAGTTGCCCTCTACCCTTGAGAGTTTTCCTATCATGTTACAATGTCTATCATAACTCTGGGTTTATATTAACTCGAGAAAAGTAATTTTGACAGGATACATAATGATAGAGCTGAGGTGAGAGAGCCTGTGTCCTGGGACTCCTGACCCACTTTCCTGTAGTGGATTTTTTTCATGCCTGTTTCATAGGATTTATGATTGGTAAGATGATAATAGAAATAATAGGCAAAACACAGATTTGTGGAGCTGTCAAAAAATTTCAAGATTGTTTCCAAGTATCAAAAAGAAAATCAAAAAGTTCATGGCAACATTACAGTTTCTAGTGTCTCTATGGTGTCTATATTTTATAGAGGAACAGACTAATGGGTGATAACAGACCAGTTTCACACAGCTAAGTAAGAGCAGAACAAGACTAGAAACAAATCTGTTGGATTTCAAACTAGATGTTCATAAACAGTGCTACATTGAAGTCTGCTGTATGCAGGTCACCAGAAAAACAATTTGTTTCTTTGTGGTAGCAAAGGTCACATCTATAAACTTAACTGCCAGCTGAATGGCTGAAGTGAATTTCAAAGTTGAGTAAGCCTGAACTCAATATGAGAAGATACATAGCTGCACTTGGTATATAGACCCAAATCTAGGAGTGAAGGGACATGGACTACAGCAGCTTATTTGTTATGAGTGTGACCAGTCATAACTATCTTTAGAATAGTCTAGATTTCCAGAAGAAATTTGAATAGGCCAGTAACTGAGAAGAAATTGAGTAAAGATACTACAAATGCTAGTTAAATGAGCCCACTGAGTACAATCATGAGTCATTTAAAACTTTGAAGTAGCTGATAATTGCCATGTTTTCGCACATAACAAAAACCAGGACACCATCAATATAAACATCTCTTGATTTTTATCTATTCTCCACTAATTTTTTTAGAACATTAACTCATACCCCATTGGATAGGATTTTGGTGGGATTGGCAGCCACTGTCCTTAACTTTGTCATAAGGATGAAACCGAAATAAGGCTAATTAGGTACTTTTTGGGGATAGTACAAAGAGAGTAGCTGAGGTTTATTCAAGTTGCAGATATCAAGCTGAAGTGTCCCATCTGTCTTTAAGTCTAGTTCTTCATCTTTTTTCCCCAATTCATAAGATACTCCCATCCTTCAAAATTTCAAACAAATGATTAAAAATTAGAAACTTACCAGTCTTGCTGTGACATACATTTAAAATCTTTAAAAGTGAGCAAAAAGTATTTAAGTAAACATTAAAGCAATAGCATCTCATGAGAAATATTATTTCATTGTAGAACCGTAAGTGACCTTAATATAAGGAAATGCCACCTCAGTAAGTTAAATAATTCTCTTCAACTTGTATTTCTAGATGCCTAAAAGAAGATGTGTGAAAGCTATTTCTAATTTTAAAAACGACTACAAAGATTCTTTCTAAAGGAATGAAATGCTCAATGAATATACTGAACCAAATACATAAAGAAATAAAATAGCCGTATAATTTTGAGAATAGTTTGTTCACCAAGGGTTATTTTGGGGCTACCAGTGTGTGTCCCATCCCTATGATATAGAAACTTAGGTTGGGGGATGCATCTGAGGAGACTCCTTTGAGCTACACTCCTTTAACTTCCAATTACCTGCTAGTCTAGTAATGAAGTCCCGGAAGAAGAGAGGACAAGAAATAATAGATGAGATTTCTATATATGATGGAAATGATCAGCGCCTAACTCAAAGAATACCAATGAATTCTAAGCACAAGAAATGTAAAGAAAATTCATTAAAACGTACTTGAAACAAGTCATTTAAAAATGTAAAGGCAACTAGGAAAAAGCTGTATATAGAGAAACAAAACCACAGCAGACTTGTCAGAAACTGTGAAAGTTAGAAACCACTGAAGCATCATCTCTAAGTCCTGCAATAAAATAGCCAAACCTAGAATTTTATACCCTGCCAAAACCTTTCAGAAGTACAATTCCCATTTCCAGTTCTTGGTGTAAAGAGTTTGGGAGTCATTGCTGTGTTGTAATAAAAAACTGATCCGATTGAAAAAAATGAACTTTTCTTAGGTCCATTAGAGATGTGAGCTCATTGGACAAATTGCTGCCTCCAAGATTAAAGAGAGTCTAGTGCTACTACCAGGGCAGAAACCAAAGTCAGGATGTAAAACCTGAAATATAATTGAATTACCAGAGACCTTTCCCCTTCAGTCCTGGGGATTGAACCCAAGGCCTTATTTTTATTTTGAGACAGGCTGGGCTTCAATTTGTGATCCTCCAGCCTCAGCCTTCTGGAGTGCTGAGGTTACACATGTGTGCCAGAATGCTTGGCAAGATTATATATTTATAATGCTTGGAGTTGAAAGCTTGTAGTCCAAACACATATAGTGGTCCCTATGTTTTTCTACTTTTCACCTTCAGGAGTTGAACCAAGGTTCTCACAGTAAATAACTGCAGAACCAAATCCCCTCATACTTCAGGGTGAGAGGCAGGGCTTAATAGTCAAAATCAGGAGAAATTAGTTAAGGAGCCTCATCTTGGGATTTCTAATTGACCTTGTGAAAGGGAATAGCCAACTCTGGCTCTTTCTAGCTACTATATTCCACCTAAAGAGTTAGAGAAAACTAACATTTGTTAAATTCTGTCTAGAAGCAGATTTGGTGAAAAAAGGGAGACCTGAACATAAAAACTGTACATTCCTTCCTTTTTACCTGTACATTACCACCACATCACTGGAGGTCTATTTACAGCACTTCAGTTTTACCAGTGAATAATGTCTGGCTATGCAGGAAAAAATTACAAAGCATACCAAACAGGTAAAAGACCAGAGAAAGTGAACATTAAAACCATATTTGGCAGAAATGATGGCATTATCAGGAATTTAAAATAATTCATATTTTTAGGACTCTAGTTGACAAAATAGCATAGAAGAAGTGATGAACAATGTAATCAGAAAGGGAAATAGTAAGAACCAAAAAGAAATACTAGATTTTAAAAAGCAGTAGTATGAAGAATGCCCCTGATAGGTTTATACTTACTAGACATGACATATCTCAAGAGGATATATCAACAGAAAGAAATTCTCTACTCAGTGGCATTGTGGAACAGTGACAAGTGTAAATAACTTATAATGGGAAGACCAGAAGGAGAAGAAAGAACTGAAGGAATATTTGAAGGCTAATATCAGATAACCTATGCAGGAGCTCAGATCCAGGAAGATCAAGGATTAACAGCAAGAAAAATGTCCAAAAAAAAAATGGCACGTAGGCATAAAATTTTCAAACTACAAAAATTAAAGGTAAAAAAATGTATAAAAGATCCCTAAAGGAAAACACCTTACCAATAGAGAGGAAAAGATAAAAATTACATACATTTTCTCCTGAGGGACAATACAAGGAAAAAAAGATGGGAGTAAATTAAAATATTATTAGAAAAAAATCTAGTTTTCTATGCTGCAAAATTACCCTTATATCTGAAAGAGAAGTGAAGACTTTCTAAAAAAAAAAAAAAATTCAGGCCTGGGTGTGGTGGCACATGTCTGTAATCCCAGCACTCGGGAGGCTGAGGCAGGAGGATCATTTTGAGTTCAAGACCAGCCTGGGCTACAAAGTGAGCTCAAGGCCAGTCTGAACTGCATAGTGAGACCTTGTCTCAAAAAGAAAAAAAATAATTAGGGATTTTGCCAGTAAACCTACCTTGCAAGAAATGTAAAAGTTCTTTAATGAGAAGGAATGCAATGTAGGTCAGAAACTTGTATATAAAAGAAAGCACAAAGAAGAAATAAGTGAAGGTAAAATAAAAAATTTCATTTTCCAATTCTTGACTGATCTAGCATAATGGTTTGTTCATAATAATGGCAAATATATTTTCAATTATGTATGGTTATGGATACATTTCATATGTATTTATCAGTATGTGTCTTTGTGTGAGATGAATGATAATAGTGATAAAAGGGATGGGAGAAAGGAATTCTATTTATTATAAATTGTGAAGTATTACAGTGTTAGCTGAAAATGAGTGTAGATTTGTTCTAAGTGCAAACAACCTACAAACTGTAGGATAACCACATAAACTGAATATATCTGATATGCTAAGAAAGGAGATAAAATGCAAGGTGAAATGCTCAGCTCAAATAGTAATAGGATGAGGAGGAAACAGGAACAAAGAACAATGGCAAAGTGTAGA